CCTGCCAACAACTCCTATTGCAAGAACAAGCCACACACCAGGGTGCAGTTAGGATTCTAATGATGGGGTGATGATAGCAGGTGTGGAGAGCATGGAGGGAAGGAGAGTCAGGGAGGGTCCTACAGGTGGGCTCAGGCAGATCTTGAGTGGATGGTGGTCTCACTTTCAGGAGAGAAATGCCACAGGAAGTCAGAGGGAGCCACTGGACATCAACTGGAATGAGAACACAGGGCTTCAGAACACTGGCTGTCACAGCCACAGTGGGAGCTGGCTTTCACACACAATGACTGGACACGAACTGGCCTGGCCCTGCTGTCTTCACTCATTGCCCAATGCCCAATATGGCTGAGGCCATCGAGAAAAGAGAGGCAGCTGTGGATTTGTGGTCTAGATATGGCACTTGACTCAAACCCCTCCTCATCCCTTCTTCTGGAGCAGTGGAAGATGGGGAATGATTGAGTAGAGGCCATGCCCAAGTCAGGGTGAGAATTCAGCACACAGTCACAGTCCTCAGGGTTCAGGATGTACACTCAGTGTCAGAGTTCAGCCTGGATTCAGGATCACGTCTGAGTTTCTCTTGTCTTGTGACAGAAGCCTAAGCCTGGCCTTGGCTTCCTGATGGGCTGTTGTGACAAGCTGCAGAGTCTACCTGTGGGGTTTAAGGAGAACTGCCACCATAGGCTCATATATTGGAATATTTGGTCCCCAGGTTAGAAAACTGTTTGGAAGGATTAGGAAGTGTGGCTTTGTGAATGGATGTGTTTCACTAGGGATGGGGTCTGAGGTTTCAAAAGCCATGTTCTTCCCAATCTCACTGTCTGGTAGTTGTATCTCCAGATATAAGCTCTCAGCTACTGCTCCAGTGCCAGACCTGCCTGCCTGCTGCCATGCTTCTCACCGTGATGGTCTAACCCTCTGGAACTCTGAGACCCATATTAAGTGTTTTATTTTATATTTTCCCTTCGTCATGTTGTTCTGTCACAGCAATAGAAAAGTAACAAGGACAGTAAACCAGCATCGAGTCATGACATTCCTCCATCTGCTCCTTCCTCTTCAGATGGAAACTGGTTTTCTTCCATCAGTAGATCAGCTGAAGGAACCAAGTCAAGATCAGCCTCAGTCTCTGTCATGGAAAATTGAATGGAGAACACTTCCAACTTGTTACCTCCCCCCAGCCTGTTCTGTGACAATTATGTGACCTCAGAATTGTCACTGTTCACCTCAAGGTGAGCGAGGACAGTACCCACTGTGCAGACTCTCTTGGGGATCCAATGAGGTAGTGTGTGCAAGACACAGCAGTACTGTGTAATGGGACATTTCCATAGAAGGGTCCCCTCCAGGGTCTGTTGCTCCAGCTACCTTGTCAATCATGGAGAGCAAAGGGCTCAAAAGAGGCCTCCAGGGAGGGGAGGAGAAACTAAAAGGCCGCCTTGGTCAGGATGCAAGGACCCTGCCTGGGTCCCTCCCACAGCTGTTGTCTTGGCCCATGGAAGGCTTTCCAGTGCCCAGGGTGTGACTTACGGATGAAGGCCTGAAGCTGCAGTTTGAAAAGAACATCAGTCAATCGAAATATCTGAGAGGCAAAGAGAAGGTAGAAAAGGAGGAGGGGGAGGCAGGAGGAAAACAGATGAGACTTTGCTGACAACACACTTTCCACCCTCCCCAGACAGAGGGGCTCATTTCCAGGACCTAAGAAGAGTTAACCTTAGCAACCTGGAACTATGGAATTGTAGCAGCCTGAATCACAGCTGTCCCAGGCTGCTGAATACCCACCACCTCAGGATGTCAGAAGTTCAGGATCTGGAGATCTAGCATCCAGAACCTTAACACCCCAGACTCCTTAAACCTTGAATTCCTGAACCCTGTAAATTCAAGCCCCTCAGAAGGCTTAAGCCTTTGAGGAGCTCCAATTCCCAGTTTCTTGTAGCTTCTCATTCACAGGTGCTTCAACAGTTATTTTTTAAAAAGTGTGTTGATTACATAAAACATTAGCTTAAAGGGCAGAGGTGGTGATGGATGTGTTAAACAGCTCAAGGCATCATCTGTGATTTCTGCCTCCTCTCTCTGCAGCCCAGCTATGGAGGAGGAGTAGGTGCTCACAGACCTCCCAAATAGAAATCTGTACCTCACAGGAGACAGTGTCCTAAGCACACAGCCACACCAATAGATACCTCTCCTGCCTGTAACAGGCTCTAGGTACCAAGAGCTCCTGGAGGACTCACTTTTTTTTTCATCACAAGGGACAATCTCTCTGTCAAGGAGCTAGATACTCTGTCTATGACGCTGTCCATCATGGCGTTTTGTCTGCAAAAGAAGGGACTTACAAAGCTTGGTTAATATTTCAGCATGACTGAGAGTCCTCTGGAGTTCAGGTGAGCCACATCTCTGCTCCATGGTCTCATTTTTGTTGCCCAGTGGCCCATGTCAGTATGGACCATCACTAAGCATCTGGGCAGCTCATGCCTAAGTACCTGCCTCCTCAGTGCCTGGGTGCTCATCACAGCCCTGACACAGCATCATTCACTCAGCCCCTAACTACACAGCACCAGGATGAGCCTTGGGGCACCTGGCAAAAAAAATTTCAACCATTAACTTCCTTCATACACAAGTCTCACTGAGGTTGTCTCCTCCCCCTTCAACTCTCATCCAGTTGTTATTCCCTGAGGTTCCCATTCTGAGTGTTCACTGAAGGGAGGGTTTGCTCTCTTTGTGCTCTGCTAAGTATGATGGCCTGTGTAGGGTCCTCATTTCCCTTGAATTCACTGATAAAACAAATACTCGCCTACCTACCTTGTCCTCAGGATATGTTTATAGAGACAGAGATCCTATGTGTATTCACCAAGTCATTCTGCGAGCTTAGTAAAATCACATAGCAGATATTTGACTAGCAGAATTAGTAAATGGGGTCAGGGAGTTATCTCAGTCCAACTATTATTTTCTGGTAGGCATGAGGACCCAAGTTCTATCTATAGGATCTTATTAAGTAGGAAAGAAAGAAATGCCAGGTGAGAGCAAACACATGTAATTCAGAGCAGTGAAGACAGACTCCTCAGCTGGCTTAGCCTACTTGGTGAGCTCCAGCCATTCATACATGTGCTTGTGTGCCTACCTAAAAACACCCATTCCTTCCTTACAGAAAAGTTAAGTTAATAGTTAAATAGACAGTGTGACATTTGGTCTGGTGTCCCCCAACTATGTCCCTACCACTCAGGAGACAGAGGCAGGTAGATCTCTGCGATTGACCCTAACCAGAGCTGTGTAGTAAGACCCTGTCATAAAATGTGTATGCACACGACAACAGAGACAAGTACTCCGAAGGACAAGAGGATATTCTTATAAGAAAGAGAAGAAAGTTAGTAAAGGCCCTGAGAAAGGAAAAGATTCCGTGAGTTTGAGTAAGGAGAGAGATGCTTCACATAAACACAACTTCTATGCCAAGGTCCTAAGGAAAATGCTTGTCTAAGGCACAAACCTTAGGACAATGTGTTTAAAGGAGGGTGAGAGGAGAGTGTCCATGAGAGTCTTCATGGTCATGGGGATTCAGACACAGTGGAGCAACATGAGTTTCCTGGGTCTGCTTGGCAGGACATTGTCCAGCAGGACCCAGGTCTTTTAGTACGTGTCAACAAAACTGTGGTCCTGTCTTTGATTTGAGATCAGATCTTTGGCAGAGGGGGGATTGGTGACCTTAGGGCGTGGTCATCAAGACTGGAAACAGAGGCCATCCCTGCATTCCTGACCCAGGTTTCCCAGCCCCAACCCTTGGCTTGCTGGCAATGTTTCCTCTCCCAGACACTGGGTAGCATCACCTGTTCCCACCTTGTGCCTGAGACAAACATTCTTTTCCAAGCATTCAATTAAAGATGCAGATTTTGCAGATTAACAGAGATCAATCATAGAAAATGTCAGGATTACTATGGCAAGATCTCACTGAAGAATTTTGCAGAGGGTAGAGAGTAATTGATGCAACTAGAGCCCATGGCAGCAAATAATTTTCCCCTCAAGGTGGATATAAATGTTAACATCTTCAGATGCACAAAGAACATTGTCCCAGGTGAAAGTTATTGTAAGCAAATTCATGATTGTGGCTGGAAAGGTCCATCCTCCTGCCTCAGCAATGTAACGGAACAGTACATAGACTCAGTGTGGAATTCATGGCTCTTGAGCCCTTAGCATGTTCCAGGCTCTCAGCTAAACATGTGTCTTTTCTCATGTCTTCATCCCAGATGCTGAGAAGTACGGGTCTCTACTGTTCTAATGCACAGATGTGGAAACTGAGGCCTCAAAAGCTGCAGAGCGACAGTGCTGACAGTAGAGACAGAGTTGATCCTTTAGTGTTGTCTGACTGTGTGTTCCACCATGCTGCTTCCCAGGTGTGGGAACAGGATTAAAGTCGGGTCCTAAAGCCTCCCTGAGAGCCCAGTCTGCTGGGATGGATGAGTCTTACCTGACTGATGAATCAGGGATGTCCTTCATTGTTTCATTTGAGCATTTCCACATGGTCACATAGGGCAGGCTGTTCTGGCTCTCTCTTTCAACCCTAAATGAACATTGGAGTTTCAAGGCAATGGTGGTGTTGTCCCTGGAATTATCATTAGGCCTGCAGAAATAAAAGTCACACTGAACACAGGACTAGAAAGTTTTGCAGACTGTCCTGGTTTTCATCGTCTGAGTGGATGCAATGAAATGTGTCTAAAGGCATTGTCAATAACATCTGGGTGATGTCAACATGCTACCTATTTGCTGTGGGATGTTCTGTATGTTGAATGTGTTGCTCTGATTGGTTAATAAATAAAATGCTGATTGGCCAGTAGCCAGGCAGGAAGTATAGGCAAGAGAAGCAGAGAGGAGAATGCTGGGAGATGGAAGGCTGAGGCAGAGAGACCCTGCCAGCTGCCACCATGACAAGTGAGATGTAAGGTACCAGTAAGCCACGTGCCACATGGCAACTTATAGACTAATAAAAATGGGTTAATTTAAGATATAAGAACAGCTAGCAACAAGCCTGCCACAGCCATACAGTTTATAAGTAATATATGTCTCTATGTGTTTACTTGGTTGGGTCAGAGCGGCTGCAGGACTGGCAGGTGAGAGAGATTTGTCTTGACCATGGGCCAGACAGGAAAACTCTAGTTACACTTATTCTCCACAAAATTTATGCATTTGTATTTGAGTTCTGTAGGTCATGCATGTTCAGCACATGTGAGCTTTTTATTTGGCATTAGACTAAGAATGAAGATAATTGCTAACATTTGTGACACAAATCACGTGTTCATTTCAAGTGTTATACGTGGTTTAATCCATTGAATCACTATAACAGGGCTAGGAGATAAATCACAGTCTTTTCAGAGTGAGGAGACCTGGGCATAGAGAGGTTAAGTACATACCCCAAGATCTCACAGCTCATGGCTTCATAAGTGCATGGACTTCATACAGGCCCTATGCCCCCGACTGCTGCTGATGGAAGCCAGGCTCTCACATGTACTGGGCAAGTGCTCTCCCTGAAATATACCCCCAGTCCCTGAAACTCTCTTGCACAGGTTCTTAACGTGGTCATTTCCTTATCTGTCTGTTTAAATTAAAATTTTTAAATTATGTTTTACTTGCTCATCTAATCTATCCATAATCTCTGAGTTCTAGTTTCTATGAAAAACCATATCTCAAAAAATAATGTAGCAAAAGATTGAGGCAGATTCCTGATATTTGCCTCTGACCTCCACCATCACTTGTGAGTACATATGTGAGTCCATATACACACATACACACACATCCCACACACACAGAGAGAAATATGTTGCATAGGACATTCTTTTAAAGGAGATTTAACGTGGCCTGTTTTCACTAGAATACTTTAAAGATTGGGTTTTTAGGCCTCAGAGGGTCTCCACTTTTACAGAAGCAGAAACAGAAGGCAGAGGTCATGAAGTACCTGGGAATGAAGTGCCTACTCAAAATGTCCAGGTCACTGCACCCTCTAAATCCAAGTTACATCTACTCACATATGCACAGAAGCATCCACATCCAGGGACATCTTCATCTCTGTGCCGTTGTCGTTGGAAGACAGGCCAGCTTGGAAGTCCCCCATTCTTGGTCCAAGGAATCTAATCCTGCCCCAAATCACAAGTGCACTCTAGTCATCCCTCCTGCAATATTTGAAGTCTCCTCACCACCCTCATGTCCTCACTACGTCCTGTTCAGACATGTGAGCCTCTACACTCTCAAGGACAGTGACAGAGCCAGGGAAACAGATGGCAGCAGAGCCAAAACTTGAACCCAGGACTATGTGACTCAAAACTCTAGAAAGCCAGTGCTTGGGACAAGTTGGGTGTGGATTCCAGATTCCTATCCCTCAAAGGAACTTGGACTTTTACTTCTTGCCTAATTTGAAGGAAGAAAGTGTTATTCTTAGAGAAAGGCTTTAGGTACCACCATGCAGGTAGAGATGGGGACAAATGGAACGTTCACCTTGAGCCTGAAATTACAGACTGTGAGAAAACAGATGTGTGAACTGTCCAAACGTGCCCTGTAGCTCTTCCTCAAACTTACTCCAGCTCTAATCTTCCTTGACTCAGAACTCCTCAGCTCCATGGAGGAGACAAGGCTTATCCATCAGTCTTTGACATTGAACTGGCCTCCCCAGAGTAGTCCCTTTTCTGGGAGCAAAGAAGCACCAACTTACATCATATCACAACGAGACTGAGAGAAGTTAAATCTGTTGTGATCCTGGGAGATCAAACATACTTGAATTCTGTTGATGATTGTCCTGTCCTGTATCTCAGTTTCCCGAACGAAACTGACCTGCACATTCAGCTTCTGAAAGATCTCTGTCAGAAAAGCCATCAGTCAGTGTCTGCACCACTAGAGAATGAGCTCCCATCCTCCTGGTCTCAGAGAAGTCAGTTTCCCTGAGCTGTTTCATTCAGTCTCTGCAACAGCTCAGTGAGAAACCATTGCCACAATCTCCATTATACAGAAGAGGAACCTGAGATTCCTAAGATTAGGAAATGTGTCCACACAGCTAGGTCCATGCACTGTTTCCAGGCTGACTTATATTAATATTGATCATTTATCAAAAACAATTTAGCAATTGTCCAAGCAATGGAAGACAGATTGTGAATGCCTGTTTTTAGGGGTGACTTGAGGATCTGTTGCTAATGAGATTGTTATGTGAGTTTGAAAAACTTAGTTAAGCACTTGAGAAAATAAACCAAGAAATGGAAAAATCTAGAACCAGGAAAAAATATAGAGGGCAAATATTGCTCCAACCAGTGAAAGTGGGAATAGGAGTCCCAACTTAATAGCTGGGAATTTGGCCCAGAGAAAATGACATTGGAGCAGGAGATAGAGTCCTAACAAAAGATCTCAGAGAGCAACAGGGAAATGCAAAGAATAGGTGTCATGTGCCAGACTGCATGTGTGCAGTATTAGGGATGTTTATGTAGAAAATGTCTCTACTGTGAAACAAAGCAATTATTAATCAGAGACAAAACAGAATAAACCAACAACAGCAACAACAAAATGCACCTATGTTTGAAATGAGCCATGACTTAAAATGATACTTTAAAATATTGATTGTAAAACAGTTTTGACTTTTAATTTCTCCACAGTTTGTAACCTGTTTCATTTCTTTGGGTGTAAAGCAGTTTAGATTAGAATCGTGATATCATAACTGTTCTGTCTCACTTGTACAGTGATGTTTCAGTTCACCCTTCAGCTTTATGTATTTAGCATTATTTTTATTTATTTAAAATGATTTAATTTATAATATTATTTAGCTTTAAGTTAAATAATTTTAATGTTATTTAAAGTAATTTCATACACCTGTGAGGACTAGCCTTTGTCTTTGTAGACTGCTTTCCTGTTCTGTATTGAGTATCTCTAAGTGCTGTCGAGAGGTTTCACATCTTCCATTGGTGCGTTTGTAATACATACATACATACATACATGCGTACATACATACATGTATACATACATACATACATACATACAAATATACAAGTGGGCTGGAATTTTTTTAAGTAAGGCATTCATGTATGACCATATACTCTCTGTGATTTCAATTCAGTGTTGAGATGGAGAGTTGGCTCAACAGTGCTTGCTTCACTTGCAGAGGACTGGAGTTTAGGACCCAGCACCCTTGATAGACAGTTTTTAACCATCTATAAATAACTCCAGGGCATCTGACACCCTCTTCTGGCTTCTGGGGGCAAACACACAGATGTACACACCGAGATACATACACATGAATAAAAATAAACTTTTTATTCATAAATAAAAATTAAAAACAGTTTTAATAAAACATGTAATTTCAATACTACATCTTGGACCTGTGCTAACAGGATCTATCCATTATTATGATGCACACAAGACCACCTTAGCTAGCATTGCTTAGATAGCTCCATCTCACCACACAACTCCTAGGAACCTTTAACCTGACACCCCCTTCTCTCTGCTTTTCTCAATCCCCAGCTGTGGTTGAGAGGTTGGCTCCATTTTTAATATATGATAGTTACCTAAACACTGACAAGGTGTGAAGGCAACATGTACAGAGCTTTCCTGTTCCTGTCAGAACTGCTTGTCAGTTAGCCTAGCTCTTCTGAGCAGAGAAAAGTGGCACCAAGGTCCATGGCATAGTATAGCAGATGGCAACTAATATTCAAGGTGTCAAACCACCAGATGAGTAATTCTCTCATGGGAAAACTTCACAAGGCATGGACAGTGAGGCCACAGACACTGACTATTGATTGATTCTGTCTGAAATTTTCTCATGTGCTATTACAATTTTTCCCTAAACAGCTATGAGATTTTCCCCCACAGCCTGTATGGAAGTGTGTTTTCCTCGTGAATATATATTCCATCTATTGAGCACATTTGTGTCTGTGGATTGTCAGGAAGATGATTCCTTCTTAAGCTGTATAATTTTGATAAATAAAAATATGCTTCATAAATAGGTCTATTGTTCCATGAGAACTGTGACATACTTAAAGCCTGTTTTATACCACAGCTCAGGCTGACATAGGAAAATAGTTGTATTTCCAGTTAATAAGACAGCTTTCATAATATTAGCCGATGTGAAACCTCAAAGTAAGTTCAGATTAGGCCAGGTGCCATGCCAATGAGTTTTTAAATAAACGTTCCCAGGAAAGCAGTCAAGTTCACAAGGCCATATAGCCAGTTGTCTGATTTGTTGAACCATGGTTAGAGGTACAAAACAATCTAATTGCAGTGCCAGACCCTCTTGCTAAGTCTGGCTGTTATCTAGGACAGTAATTAACTCTCTGCACAAATCCAAATCTCAGTTTTATGATACAAGACTCAAAGTTCAGCAAACTATTTTTATGTTGGGTCCTGAAATTTGTGTCAGGGACAGGGAACGATTCACTGAGGACTAGGGACAAACAGCTTTTGTTCAGAGACTCCGGAGAGGAAATTTTTTCCAACTAGCCAGAGCTACACAAGATAATCTGACTTCACAGCCCTGAGAAAGAACCACAACTTTCCTTTTCTGTGGTCTAAAGTCACACACAGGACAGAAAAATACATGTTAAGATTTAAAATGCTTTTAATGCTGCTGTCCCTTGGAGAATGCTGAGTCAGCTTATCTTGACACCATGCCCCCGACTTCACCTTACAGCCCATACAGTTGGGGGAGGGGGACTCCCAGCTGCACCCTCTCCTGACTGTGTTTTCCCAGCCCCACAGCCCTGCTGCAGTCCCTCTCTCCATGAACAATACAAGCCCCAAAGAAACTGACATTTTTATGACTGCTAATCATGAAATGTTTGTTTAAAAAATGTCTATTACAGTTAGAAATACAGAATATATTGCACAATTTCCTTATTTCAGACTCTTCAATAGTTTAGGTTTGTAATACCTTAAAAAATACTTTATAAGGCTATTTCTTTAATTATATAATGAAATAACTGGTTCTCTCTTTACAGCTGGAGCTGTAAATTACAACTCCACCAATTAAGAAGTTGAGATTTATTACTTGTGTGTTGTCTGGAAGGCTCTGTTTCTTATCAAATGAAATGTAACCTTCATTTTTTGGGGGGTGGGGTTTCAAGACAGGCTTTCTCTGTGTAGTTTTGGAGCCTGTCCTGGAACTCACTCCGTAGCCCAGGCTGGCCTCAAACTCACAGAGATCGGCCTGGCTCTGCCTCCCGAGTGCTGTCATTAAAGGCATGTGCCACCACCGCCTGGCAAAATGTAACCCTCCAATGTAACTTTTATATTGCCTGAATGATTTTCTGATATATATATATCACTGTGTAGAACAAAGAAAGAGATTCAACAGGAGAGAATAAAGAAAGTGAACATCAGAATGCATGTGAGTTTATTCTCTTTCTAAAAGGCCTTCAGATAGAAAAAGTCTTAAAGTCTCCCTACTCTGTGGCTTTCTCTCTGAAGCCCTGCTGCAGCCTGGAAGCTGGTCACCTGGGCTGTAATACAGAGGTGCCATTAAATAGACAGTGGGGAATTTATGGACACCTAAGCCAGATGTGCCCTTCATTTCCAGCCAGTCAACACAGATCAACAAGAAAAGGTCAAGAAAATTACAGAAACACGTGCTAACAATTTTGACACAACATTTTAGTTAAATTATGTAAACAAGCTTGGAAGGGGAGGTGCATGCCTTTAATCCCAGCACTCCGGAGGCAGAGGCAGGCAGATCTTTGTGAGTTCGAGCCCAGCCTGGTCTACAGAGCGAGATCCAGGAAAGGCGCAAAGCTACACAGAGAAACCCTGTCTCAAAAAAAACCCAATAAATAAATAAATAAATAAATATGTAAACAAGTAGTAAATATGTGAAAAATGAGAGGATGGTTAGAATTAGAGAAATGCAAACTGAATTGAGTCACATCCTATTATGTCTGATAATGGCAAACCAGTTAAAGGTATCCTGGTTAGTGCAAGGGAGCATTGTGGGAGACAGTTTCCCTCACACTGCTAGAGAAAGTGGATAGAGGAATACTTGTCAACAGCTTAAATAATTTAAGATGCAAACTTTAGAAATTTTGAAATCTCACTTTGAAGAATTTAGCCTGTGCACATACTGGCAAGACTCTCTTAGGATATGATGTCGATGCATTGTTTATTTTTAAAAATATAAGTGAGTGACAGGAATTGAAAGGCTGCATATTTCTCAGTAATCCACCAATAATGGACAACACTGCTCCCTAACAGTAATCTCTGCTATTGCAGGTACAGCGTTAGGGTCACTCCTGGAACTAACTGGTGGCAGCTTTACTGACTCATTTCCAGAGACA